AGCTCTACGCAGAGCGGTGAATGGCCTGGAACAGATCTGTGGCACCTAGAGGATGATCAAGAGGTGTTTCAAGCATGTGCTGTGTTGCCATGTTAACTGCGGGGAACTTGTGCTTTGTCCTGGGATTAAGATTCATTCAGACATAATGATTTCCTACCATTTTCAGTTCAATTCATTCAAGGCCTACTAGTAGTTAAAACGAAATGTAAAGACAGTAAATATCAGAACTTCAAAAGGAGAAATATTAGATGTATTTTAGTTTTTGGCCAAGCCAAGGAACAATGTTAAAAGAGGCTGTATTTGAACAGATAAGCATCTCTAGTTCTTATTCTGCACCTTTTAGCTCTTTTTTTGTTCTACATATATGAATATGTATATATACATTATATATATGTGTGTGCGTGTGTGTGTGTATGTGTGTATGTATATATATATAAAATGTCATCATGAGCCTAAAAGACAAAATATACCCTTATTCTTTCAGTGTGATTGTGGAGGGTGGGTTTTACCCTTTTCATCATCCTGATACAGCTCTGGCTAAACACAACAAATGTGTTCTGAAGCCTTTTCCAAATTCCTGTTCATGGTTGGAAAAGAAATGATTGCTGCAGCTTACTGTGAGTTTGCCATGAAAAATTTCTGAAGCTACAGGGATGAATTTTACATAACTCTTCGCTTTATTGTGGTGCAAGCAGGTATTTTGTCACTATTATTCCAAATTTGTCCTGAGCATTACATTGCATATTCCCAGGAGGTATCCTGGGCCAGATTGTGCTGGAGAAGTAGTAAATATGCACAAGCAATAGTCATTTTTAAAAATGTAAATATAGTGAGCCAGTTCATTTGTAGCGTGGGGTGTGTTTGTCTGTCTGTGTACACACAACTCCTGTCTACTCCAGCTTAACACAGAAAGCTGGGTAAAACTCATGAGATTTTGTCTGAGGCTTTGGGGAGTCTATTCTGTGGTCCCACAGTTTCTTTTCAGCCACACGTTCTAACTTTTTTTTTTTTCAGTTCTGCCCTTCTCTTACAATCTGAAGTAATTCTGTTTTACCATTTGACATAATTAATTTTGCTTCCATTTGCTGTGTTTTGAATATTCAGTCACCTCCTGCTGCAGTGGCTGGTAATTTTGACTCTTGCTCAGCGAACAGCACAATGACCGTAATACTAGTGTTATACAACATTTTTTACCCATATACATAAAACCTCTGACAAAAGTGATTACATTTCATTGTTGTCATCTTTCTTGATGGAAAGCACAAAAAATTTAAGGGAACTCTCATCCGACAGCAGATTAGCTACACACTGAGATGGCCTGTGACTTCGCCAAAATGCTGTTGAGTTTCTGTATTTTGCTGCCAACAGTTTGTGCCCATCTCAGCTGTTCAGTGACATGCAGGAACTGTGGTTTGCTTTTTTATCCCAGTACAGGAGATGAAAACCCACCCATGGACCGTGACTCCAGGTTAAATATGAGCATTTGACCCATTTTTCCACTGAAGGACAACAGCATCTCAGGTTCCATGAGGTGCTATAAAGTGTTGGAGGCACACAGGCATTCTGTAGAAGTTTCCTTCCAGTTTTTTACACTGATCAGAGACAGAAATTAACACTGATCTAAAAGTAGTATCATTGCAATGCTCTTCTATATGCTTTTCTCTTTGAATTTGTCCAGTGTAATCTTCTAGCATCCATAAAATGTCTGGAGTCAAAAAAATCTGCAGTTTGATTACACGCTGGGTAGAGAAATACCGCCTTTTGTTCTGACCTTCTGGATTCATCTAATTCCCTTCAGCACTCTCCTATCTGGTCTAGCAGTGCAGTAAATATATGACTGATTTTAAGGGCACAGATTAATTCAAGGTACAAAAATAAGAGTTTCTTGCAAAGAATTTTGGTTTTGCTTACCCAGGTGTTTAGTACTGGTTTATTCTTTCTGGAGCCAAATTTGGACTGAGATGCATGCTTTCTATTGGAAATGCAATTACTAAAGCTTAGAAGTGCTGGGGTCCAAGAATTCATTTCATTCAGTCATCTGCACTTCTAAATATATGGTAATTGCTATTCTTTGAAATGAGATAAAATAGAACAAATTAGAGAAACGTTACTTTCTGCAGATGGGGTATTTCTGAGGATAAGATTCAAAGGTATAACAACATTAACAGAATTGTTTTTTAATCCTTGTTTGCATCTTGGCACAGTCACAGGGCACATTTCCTATGTTTTGTACATTTATTAGAAACAGAATTAGAATAAACTTTTGCTTTTTTACAAATTATTGGCTTTGTAGGCTGTGTAGGTGTTTTTCAAATGTACACACCGTGCTTTCTTAGAAGTAATTGCATTTTGAGATATATTATGCACTTCCTATCAAGGTATAGTCTGTGTGTTACAAGCTGCCATTCTACAAATTTCCAGAGTGACATTTTATTATTACAGATCATTTCAGGAAACTTCCTGAGAGAGTAAAATGTCTCTTCATATAACAGCCTTTTCAGCTAGAAACATAACAGTGCCTTGGGACAGTAAAGACTAAATGGATTAGCCATTAGGAGAGTTCTTCTATCACCTTTATCTTCAAAGACATCCTGACAGTTTGCCCAGGCAGTAATTCTGCGCAGTGTTACTTTGATCTGCTGGTGACCGTAGTTCCTGTAGTGCCAGGGCTGACAGCAGGCAACACCTACTAACCTCACACCATGGCTATGAATGTTCAACCGTTGCTTTTGCTTCTGCTAATTTTTTGGTTGTGATGCTGTTGCCTAGTTCACATCAATAGCAGAAGTTGTTTCAGAAGGAATCAGTCATGGGAGGTATGCAGGTAGCTCAAATGAAGGAGCACGAGAGGCTATTCATCATTCAGTAATGCTGGAAAGGTTGTTGCTGTAGAAACCTCCTCCAGGTCTAGCAAATGTCAAGAATCAGACTGTACCCACTGCAGTGCCCTAGATTGGATTGAATCTGGAGGCCTGGCATCCCTTTCTGGAGACACCAGAGGTTTCCTGGACATCTGCCTGATGGGGAGAGCAGCCATCACCATCACTGTCCCCCTGTCCAGAGGCTGCTGCAGTCACAATCGCCCCACACATGGTGCTTTGCTCCAGGTCTTGTGCTCATACCTCATTTCAGCCTGCATCAGAAAGCTGCCTCTTGCAACTCAGAGGGAGAAGTAATGAGGGATAAAGCGTGACTGAATGTGTTTTAGCCTGGGCTGGCAGCAAAAGCCTGAGGCTCTACAGGGAGCACGGGTACCACTTGAAGGAGATGAGGCTTGTTCTTCCCTGGAGCATTCACTGAGGCATCACTAAAGACCCAGCAAATCAGAGGTGTGCTTAGCTGGAGCTCTGAGCTCAATTACAGGTTGATGTCCTAAGCTATTGCAAAGTGTGAATGAGAGCAGGAGGAGCAGGATTTGATGGTAGCTTCATGAACGGGCTGAGTCATAATTTAACCAAGTTCAACTCATTTGTACAGCAGAGATGCCTTTTAAAGATGCTTCAGCCACGAAGTGCTTTACTTAGTTCCCTTTGACAAGGACCTCTTAAATGCTTGCTGCTTTGGATTTCAGTCCACTTACAGCCCATCTAGTAGGGGTGGTGTAAATTTGCTGAATTAAATGGGTTATCTCCCTAGAGCTGAGGTCTTGTGTGAATTTTGAGAGTCACTTAGCTCTTCTTCTGTGGCTTCCCACTGGTAAAATGAGCTAATGTGTCCACCTCGTTCTGCTGTACTCTTTGTGAAGGGTTCCTGGGCTTTGCTGGGACAATTCATAATAATTGGCTCTGGTTCAGTTCATCTCAGGTTTCTGCGTGTAGGATATCCGGGGTGTCTCTTGGCTGGGTAATTTGTTTCAAAATACGCTTTCTGAGACTAACATTTCTCCCTTTCCATTCAAGATCAGTAGGATGGAGCTGCATCATTCTTAATATAACATTGATTCTGCAGAGTGACGATTCTGATGTTTGGGGTAAACCTCAAGATTGCTTTAGATATCCATGCTCTGAATAAAGACACAAGAATATCTCATTATTCAACTATTATGGAGTCGCTCATGTTTTCAGCTGCTATAGATATTGTTGATTTGTTTTGATAAGGGTGTTAGAAGCCTAGAGCTTGGCAGGACATGTTATTGATCTCATGCAATCCACTCTGGGCATTAACATGGGAGTATCACTCACAAATCAATTTTCTCTGAGCTTTAATTTAAATACCAGTGTCCCTTGAGGATCTTTCTCAAGCTATACTTCAGCACGGGGTAAACTGATTTATAAATGCAGGCACCCAAATCAGCTGCATACCAGCTGCTGTCACATGTAACAATCTAGTCTCTTCAGTTTGCTGGCATATGTTTCTGTAAAGAATAACACTCATCTCTGTCTACCTTCAAAACGGTTTTCAAGTTTCAGCTGCTCTGTAAAGGGGCAAGTATTCCTCTTTTATTAAGGCACACTGCCTAGGGAGAATATTTAAGGTGAAGTAGCATCATTTAGCTAGTTGTTAGACTGTGCAGAAAAACTGTCTGCTACCTTTCTCCTCAGCAGACAGAAGCTGAGAAGTAGATATCAAGAGAGCTTCAGAAAGGATCAGAGTGAAGTTAATGCCATATAGCACTATGTAATCCATGAAAAGAATGTAATGAGGAGATAATTAATGTAATGTTTGATTTTGTAAAGATATGTGGGAAAGGTTAAGAGAGAGGAACAGAGCTGGAATGGTCACTTTGGAGGCTCTGCCAAATTAATGTTCCTTTGCTTTTAGCTACTGGTCATGGAAAACAGATGTGTGGGAACTGGCTATGGGTTTATGGAGTGTCCAGAGCCAGGGACTGCCCAGAGAGAGGCCCCACGAGAGGTTTCTCTATCCACTTCTCATGCACGTGCCCCTTAATGGTATTGTGGAGTTTAAATATCCCAACAGTTTCTCAGAAATGGTGGCCTAGCTTCCCAAATTATTTCCTTTTCTTTTTTCCTTTCATTTCTTTTCTCTCTATGTTTCAGATTATGCTTGGCCTTTGCCTAAACAGTTGTGCCCTATGTGGATTTCCCTAGATGTGCTCTTTTCAACTGCATCTATTATGCATCTCTGTGCCATCTCTCTTGATCGGTATGTAGCAATACGCAATCCCATTGAGCACAGCCGCTTCAATTCCCGCACCAAGGCTATTATGAAAATTGCTGCAGTTTGGACCATATCCATAGGTAAGCAATGCGGCTCACGATCTTAACTATGTCTTAATGAATAATAGTGTTACTCCAATTTTCATTTAGGATTTTTAAGAGGATACTCAACTTAATTTACCTGGCCTGCATGCCTGAATATAATAAATGATTACTGGGAAATAGAAGTCTTACATTGCAGTTGGTCAGTGACCAAAATAATTAGTCATTTTTCGAATACCATCGCTTTCAATGCTGAAGCATTGCTGCTGTGTACATATCAATATGCCGATAACAGCGGTAACACAGACAAATGGTACTATAAAACTGCTGTGTAAACAAAGCAGAAAATAGCATTAGCAAAGACTCCTGAAGGAAAACCCAGCCAGTACAAATGACATGTCTTCACTGCAGTTGCTGCAGTTAAACTTGCTCAAATTCTGATAGCGGTTTCAGTGAAGCAGCACAGAATTGAAGGCAGACTAACCGTGAGGTATTTACTGCTCCTGTGCAGACTTTATAGCCTATATTATACTCTGCCACAGCTGGATTGCTGCTAGTACTGAGCTAGCAAGTTTGAAGTCATAGTAAATGAGGAGTATAAAAGAAGACACTTTTGTATCGCTTTGATAAAAAGTGATAAATAAAGCATCAGTAAAATAAGGAAGAAAAGGCAAAATGATAGCAAGATAACAGTAATGTGAGTAATGTGAAGAAAAACATTTGGGGGGGAATTCTTTCAATGTGCTTTATAAAAGAGACATTTGGGGCAGGGTCAGAAGAATTGTATGACTACTTCCCCCTGCTCCATTGCATTTTTGCTTGAATATAATTCAGTCTTACAAAGATTTAACATTTTTCTTTTATAAAGTGGTTGTGACTTCCAGTGCTGTACTGCAAAGAAAAGCATGTTTTGGGTACTTGAACTTCTCTTGGGTTTTGCTGCTTTAGAAGTGGAAAATTTTACTGTATGTCTGAGTGCTGCAGGGGCCACTTTTGAAGAAGCTTCCCATGGAAAAAGGCTATGGAAAAAGAAAAAAAATAGGGGAAATATACCTTCTCTCCTCATAAATATAACAATAATATCTGTTAGAAACAAATTTTCATGTGCCACAGGCCTGCTACAGTTCCTCTGGGTAATAGATCCACAGTGAAATTAGATTGGGTTTAATCAATTCATTTAAGATTGTTATTATTATTTTAAATTCTCTGTGCTACCTGTTCGGCATAGGAAAGCAAGCTGCTGCTTTCAGTGCATAAGCTGTCACATGAGAACAACTTCACGTGCAGGATGCTTGGGCTCGATTTGCACAGGCAGTTCAGAGTTGGCACTGAACCCGCGCCCTGTGTTGCACCGTAACGCAGAGGGAGTAGCCCGTACCCTGCCCTAGCAGAGCCGTATAAACCTCTCAGCAGCATTAAGTAGCACATTGCAAAACCTGGGCAGTAAGACTGTTTTGCTTCCATTTCTGGAGCTAACTTGCAGATTTTTGCCTGTGTTGCTTTACATGTTGCAGACATAGCCTTAGAAACTTTGGGTAGTGCTGAATGTGGCTGCCTGTACAAGTGCCTTGAGAGCTAGATTGTGGTCTGGAGTATGTGTCCATGGAGCAAAGTAAGGCAAGGAGTACTTCATGCATGGTTCGCTGAGTAAAAAGACTAGTAAGCAAAGGCCCTGACCAAATAGAGGTAAAGACCGTCATAGTCCTCCCTCTTTCTGAAGTTACTGGGTGGGGAGTAGGCTCAGGACAATGGAAAATAGGAACATTATGGGTTCTACTGTCCCCCAAGGACAAAAGGACATGAGCCAGGATAGGCAAGGTGCCTTTGTGTTGCTGTAGCTTGGAAAGGAGATGAAATGGCGCTTTTGTTTTGCAGGCACATGGCTCATCAGCCCTCAATAAGGCAATGGGTGCTGCATTTATTCCCCAGCATCCTACAGTCTTTAGGAAGAAGCTGTGAGCAGTCGCTCAGCGGGATGCCTGCGGTGCACAACGCAGTGAGGGACTGCCCTCCCCAGGCTGGGAGGGGAGATGTGTTACAGCTGTACCTGCATGACCTGCTTTGCTGGGATCAGAGCTGAGAGGCTGTACAGCATGCCTGGGCTTTGTTTGTTTTGTTCATTCCCTTTCATGCAGATACAGCTCTGTCTCTTATACACATCTCCTCCTGTGCCACTGATGGAGAAACGGGCTTTCCAGCAGGCACCACGCTGTCTGGCTTATATGCCAATGAAGCTTCCACAGCTAGTCCTGCTCAGAAAATTATTTTCCAGGCCTGTGAAAGGAGTCTCCAGAGTTTCTATGGCCTGGCAAAACAGGGAAACATCTAAGTATTGTCAGATAACAGGGGGAAGAAGTGGGGAAGAACAGCTGGGCAATTAAGGTTGACAGTAGAGGGAGTGGGACTCCAGACTTTGAACCACTGTACTGGAAGATAAAGGCTACTGAAATGTTATTTTTCAAGTATTGTTCAAGATTTGAGAAGAGCTCAAGCAGTTAAGTAACTTGGTCTAGTTTAGCTGCACTTGTTTGCTTCATCTCATTTCTAAATTCGATTCCTCAGTTAAAAGAAAGTTATTGGCAAAATTTTCCCACAGGTAAGTCTGGGTCATACCACTACAAGAATACTGGTGGATAACTGAACACTTCTGGGTGCAATCAGGATGTTTTTTTCACACTCGCCATGGTTCAGCAGGTTATTCCTACAGAGTATAGGACTGACTGGCAATACATGCATTTTCTAGATCTCTATTAGATTTACTTAATTAAATATTTGAATCTTGTTTACATACCGGATGAATTCTGTTCCACTTCTGCTTCAGGGAAGGACAGTGATTCTTCATTGTGTTGCCTTTTAAGTGGGGCAGGTTGCATGTGCACAGATTACTATGCTGAGTTTTTGAGAAAGCAGTGGTTTGCTCACATGTTCACAGATTTCCTTGGGATTACCGCATATGTAATAGCGTTCACTAGCAAATCACTTCCTTGAGAAAGCCACTGAAGGTGCTGTTCTATCACCTTTCAGGGTCCCACGGTGAAAGTTTCCACTGTGACAAACCCTGACTTGACACTTCTCCTGTAATGAAAGATATATTGGTTCTTGGTCAGAAGAAGCATGGGCATGGTGGCAGAAATATTTTGCAAGCAGGAGGTTTGCATCTAAGGTATTCAGTTACAGAAGGACAGTAGATGGCACTCAAGGATATGGAGCAGAAATTCTAGGCTTAGCAACCCCCAAATAATTGCT